AGTGGACGATCCGGGTGTCGTTCTATTAGAGGTTTTACGGTATGTACAAAGTCTACAATGTTGTTTCATTCTGATGACAGACACTTCTGACTGCCATTCAAAGTTGATTTCCCAATCACCTTGATAAGGATTTCTTTCAAGGCTACTTTGAAAAGTTGCTGTTTCTCTCCGGTTTGATCATGTCCAAAAAATTATATATTCTTTATCTTAAGATCAAGTTTCAATTGAATTCATTATCAAACCGGGAGTATTTGTCTGTGCGAGCTATATCTCTTCATTTTTCTCTTTTATCACTCTTGTAGTCTGATATTCTTGTTTAAAGATTAAAACAAAGACTGTTGTACTAGTTGCTTCTCTATTTCTTCATCGCTTTCCTCCTTTTTGCAAATCCGATAGAAGAACACATACCTTCAAAGATGATCTGCGCCATCGGTTAGGCCCCGTCCTCTTATTTCCGGTCTGATATCATGATTAATGACGCGGTGATCAACCCCGCAGTGGCGGCCTTTTCTTCTTAGCTGCAACTGTTTCCGTCAATCATCAGACAGTCATTTTAAACATTGGATACATTACCGTATTTCCTCTAATAGAAGCCCATTCAACCCGTCAACTTTGAGCTAAGTTATCTCAATTCATGTTAAAGATATCAACTATTTATCAACTGATAAAATATTGGTGAGATTATGATGAATAATTCGCCAGTTGACCAATTTTTGATATCTTTCACAGAAATCGAGATAATTGAGCTCAAAGTTGACGGTTTGAGTGGGCTTCTATTAAAGGAATTACAGTACTTTGAAAGTAATCAGGATTATCCTAGGATTGCACAAAATGAAATTTTTAAAAAACGAAAAATACTGAATGATTGGATCTGAAGGGAACGGATAACCGGAGCGGCCATCAGAAGGCTTCCCCGTCTTCATCGTCGTGTCAAAAAGAAACAGTATCGGTCGTGTAGTGTCATCTCGTCCGTCAATTCATTTCCGCCCACTTTTTTTGTCTCCCTGTATCTTTGCTGATTCTTTTTTGTTGCTGCAGAGGGCCTGCTTCTTCGTTTTCACGATTGTGATGATAATCGACTGAATACGCAAAAGAGACTTCGTCGGTTTTCCATCGAACTGTCTTCTTCTTCTTCTAAATCTGCCTGCAGGTGCATTATCTATATTCCACTTGACCGTATGAATGACTACGAAAAAGACTACTACGACGACGACTATGAAGACGACGTAGATGATGTTGAGTTCGTTTTTTTTCTTCTATCTGTTCTCTTATCTAACCAACTCTACAGTATCTTTCTAACGCTATCTCTACTTTCTGATCTTTTGAAATTTCTTTTTTTAAGTCTTCCTAATACTTCTATGAGTACATATAATCAAATTGATCAGTCGATTCTTTTTTTTCACATGATTGTCATCTGGCTGATATTTTAATGAATCTCTGATCTCTTTTTTCCCGATTTCCATATGGAAAACGACGTGAAAGATGATTAGCTCTTTTCTCTATTTCTCTGACGTCCGTTTGTCCAGAAATCCCGTATTAGTTGCCTTCTTATTCTTTTTGCCACTCCTCTGTGTCATCATCTTTTTCTTCTTCTTCTACTCCATCCTTCTTTTTCTTCTTCTTCTTCCAAGCTCTGCCCACACTCTCGTCGTTATCCGTTGTTTTCGGCGTCTGGGCCGACAACCAAATCAGCGTGGCTCTCGTTTTCTCTCTCTCTGTGCAAGAGTCCTCGTAAAAAAGAGTGTTCATTTTCTTCGCCTTCTTATTCTTCCTCTACTTTTTTATCCCCCCCTCTTGACGATGTCGTCTTCAATTGGATCTTCTGTCATCCATCCATCGCCATCATCCGAAATGCCGCCGAACCATCGTCGCAGTCAGAGGCATCCGTCGGACACACCTTCTTGTTTTGGTTCCTTCAAAAGTCTTTTCCTGCGAGCGCGCTCAAATCGTCAGTGAGTTCACACGCATTAGTGTTTTTTGAAGAATTAGGAGCCAATGAACGTTAATTGGCAAAAAAACACACATTTTTTGTTAGCTAGGTTGCTTTCCCTTCTCTCATTGGAATTAGAAAGTTTTGTATGAATTCAATTTCTGAGTGAGTGTTTCCAAGACACCCTTGCAGCTGAAAATTCAAGAAATATATGAATAAATTATTTTGCAAAATTCGTAGTATATCAGATTTATGATTCCTTGAATTCTTATTATTCCATGGTTACGGTTCGGACTTCTCATTATGAATTGATCTTATGGTTTCTCTCTTATTCTCAATTCTATATTTTTATTGTTTTAACATTTCTTTGACCATCATAATAGTACGGTAACTTCCGTTTGAGAAAAAAACGAGTGTTAAGTTCCGTCATAAGATTCACAATGATTGATCTTGAAAGAAACCTTTTTTTGACAGTTACCCTTTGAACATGATTCTTGTACTAACTAGGTCATCAGTTTCAGGACTGTCGAATTTTCTAAAGTGAAAATGACGAACTTGTCCACCGATGAGCTTACTGTAGTTGTATAGATTTGAGATCTGAAGTCATTCAGAATAATTTTCGTGGATAATCGTCCTGAAGCTTATCATACAGGCTTAGGAAGCACTTCAACGTAGATGCTCCAAATTATATGATGCTTTTAGTTATACTGGATACTTAGGATCTTCGAATAAAAAGTCTAGAATTCAATTGACCCGAAAACAAAAAACTTTGAATTTTCCTAATTTTTCAGCTATTTGCTATTTTCTGAATGACCCCTTTTTTCTTTTTTTTGTACTGAAAGTGTGAAAAAAAGCAGGTGTCCTTCAGAAATCGGCCAATAACTTAAAAACTAGTAATTTTTAAACTAACTTTTGGAATGAAAGTTCTTCATCTAGGTCAATTGCGCACCCTCCAAAATTTTCAAAGTGATGAAAAATTGACAGCCGAGCTCCAACCTCCTGAAAATAGTCGAAATCAACTGTTTTATATAGGTATCTATTGATGGGTACTGTAGGTAGTAGTAAAATGATGGGCTTTGAAAATCAAGAACATCTGAACAGTTTGTGGCAATATGAAATTCACTCGAGCTTCTTAATCCTCTCTTGTTCTGGTCCGTAGAACTTATCAGCTTCATCCTTTACAAGATTTCTTAACCCTATCAGATATCCCAAGCTCCTGTAACCTTTGCATTTCGATCGAGTTGACCCTTTGCTCCGTCATCTTTCTTATCTAAATATTCGCTTTTTCTTGTGTGCTCCCAGCTCCAGGGATGCTCCCGCCGGTTCGCGACCTCAGGTGTTGCTGGTCGATTTTTGGATCCTTTTCCTATGTATGCCCCGTGTGACGTAGCGTATGTTTGCGTGCGTGTGCCTCATGTGTGGCGTGCGTGTGTATACAGACAATTTCACGTACCGCGCCGCGCACAGGCGCTCGCTCCCAATTCCTTCCCGCTCAAACTATTCGGTGCGCTCAGCGCTCAGGTCGTACTTTTAGTAGTGGTACCCCCCAGCGCCTAATAAAGGACGATTTCAAGGAAGAGGGGTGGGAGGGGTCAGAAGAATGAGTAAGAAGAGGTTGGGGAGCCAGTACACTGTCGCACGTACAGAAGGGTGGACCTATCCCCCCGGTTACTATTATTTTCCAACCGTTTCTTGCATTTCGATTGAGAACAAACTAACAAACAAATACCGTGGCCGATATTTCTTTTTTCTCTCTTTTCTTCATCATCTCTGTTCCTCGGAGTCTTTTCAAGAGGGGTGGGAGGGCGCGGGGCGGGAAAGGGTCGTTGTCGTGTGTATTCGGATTGCTGATTTCACACCTCGGGGTTTCACACCTTCCTTCAAAAATTCTTGTTTGCTTCAAACATTTTTCTTACTATTATTTCCATCATTATTCAAAAGTTAGCTCCCAGTTCCGACTGCCTGATTGCCACTTGTTCATCTTCTAGAAGGCCGTCTCGAAGGTTTGTATTCCTATTTTCTTTAATGTCTAAATCTCTTGTCTCTCGTTTTTTATTCCAATAGCTCATGACAAAAAAAAATCAATTCGTTTCGCTCTCTTGATCACCTAATGTAATGGGTTTCAGAAAAGTTATGAGACACTGTAGAAAGGAAAAAATAGAGAAGTATTGAAAAATAAAAAAGAAAAAGAGTTGTATTCTGCACTTTTTCAAATTCATTCACCCATAGTACCTGTTCCCGGAAGATACTTCCAACACTCAAAAACCCATTTCTCTTCTTCTTCTTCTTTGAACCTTTTTTTCTGCCTTCTGAAAGGAATCGACTGAAGCTTATTTTGCCCTCCCGACCTTTCACATCAATCATTTTTTGTGCTCTTCTGTCACATAATAACTTCTGAAAAATAAAGTAAATGTGGTCCCTCCACTTTCTCTTTTCCTAACACTTTTTCCTCGTAAAAGAAAAAAAAAGACAAACAAAAATGGGCGGAGTCCTGGAATAGGGGGGCGGTGCGGTTTGGAAGGTTGTGTGCCTCTGCCGACGCAGCTGAGCCTAGACGTTGTGTTGCTGCTCTTCATTCCATTCAGTTATTTTTCTTCTTCTTCTCCTTTTTCACGTCTTCTATTTCTTCTTCTGACAAACTATCTTGATCTACGTTGATCCAAATCCCACTATGTCGATTTCTTTGAATAACAATAATAACCGAAGTGTCCGTCGGAAATTCGGAGAATCCGGATTCACATTTCGGTGAGGAGCTTCAGATGCATGCTTCTGTGTGGAATGATGAGTTATATAGTTTCTCTGTGTTTTTGAAAAAGAAGAAGATGGAAAAAAACGAAAAGTCATCAACAAAAAAGATAGACTAGAAGTCATCTATATGTATTTACGATGGCTTAGAGCTCTTCTTCCTTGACTAGTCATCCGATTCGTTTATTTTTTTTCATCTGCTTCGAAGCATGGTTCTATGCATAATCAGAAAAACAATATATGGAAAAAAAAAATCAAAAACTTGTCTTAAAATGATGGCACATAATTCGTAGGGTATAAAGTACAAGGAGGAGATTTAGGGGTACAAAATCCACAATTCGGGGATACGAAATTCGGATTTTTTCAGGTACTTTGTACCCCTAAATTGCTTTGTACCCCTAAAATGGTTGTACCCTCCGAATTATTTGCCTAAAATGATACCAACTATAACACCAACTGGTAACCAAAACAATTGAAGACTGACATACTGTAAAAATATCTGAAATTGCAATTTCTGTTATATAGTCTTGAAATACAACCGATGCATCATTTCAGACACGGAGACGACCTAATTGTAACCCCGTTTGCTCAACTACTGGCGAGTCTTCGAAACGTTCGATCCAACCTGATTTCGATATCCAACATCCAGGTAAGGAAAGAAGCAGATCAAACATCCAAGAAACGAAAAAAAAGAAAAATGAGAAACAGGAAGACAATTTCTATAGGTATAGGAATACTTCCCGTTTCTCCTCTGCGGTTATTTCTCACCAATCCATCTCATTTTTCCTGTGCTCTGCTCCATCCTGGAATAACAAGACCCCCTACTTGTTCCACAGCTTCTTCCATTTTTATTTCTTCACGAAGCTATAACCGATTCCCAGAGGACAGTATATTTCATGTTATTTTGTCTACATGACAGGCACCACTTTTGCAAGGGTCTGAAAGACGAGAAAAAATGTTAAACGGGTTAGCAGCAGCTCTTTGGAAAAAAGAATTTCAATTCTTGAATAGTTTCCCATTGTTGTGGAGTGATTTTTGATTTCACAAAGTAGCCTTTTAAAATCGAACAATTTGAGTCTGGGGTTTGCATTCACCTTGTAAGTACAACAATCAAAGATTTAAGAAAAGGAGAAGGCGAGAAATTTGAGAAATGAGCTCTTTTTCTCATGATTCCATCTTGATGTGCTGGTCTTAGATGAGCAATTACAAGATGCAATAAGGGAAAAGAGTAGTTTTCCTTTTCTCTCTATCTCTCTCTCTCTCTCTCTCTCTCTCTCTCTCTCTCTCCGAGAAAAAAAGGTTTAGAAATGTCGCACGACATACCAGAGGCTATGTACATATGTAAATAGGGTCCCTTCACGACACTCTAGAACAATGGGAAACGTTTTCTAGGACGTGAGGTATCACGTGTGGATTTGGGAGATCAGGGAGAATGGATGGATGGGAATAAGATGGGAATATTGAGACTTTTTTAATTTCTCAAATTTCAGAACAGCGACGACAGTCGACACGCGAATCGAAGTGCGAAAAGGCCGCCATTGCACAATACTCCACTTCCAGACGATGTGGTGCAATGTGCGCATGATACACTTGGTAAGAAGAAGAAGTAAACCCTCAAATAGAACGCCACCCAACCCCACCTTTTACTTTGAGCCCTTATATCTCAGTTCCTGTGAGAGATATCAAAAAGTAATAAACTAACAAAATGTTAATCATAATATTAGCGACATTTTATTAGTTAACCAATTTTTGATATCTTATATAAGAATTGATATATGTGGGCTCAAAGTTGGCTGGTTGGGAGGCCTTCTAGTGTTTACGGTGTTCTAGAAAGAAATCAAACTAGAGATGAAAATGTAGTTTGAGAGATTTGATAAGCCAAATTTTTCATATATCTGTTCCCGAAGCCTTTTTTGCTTTGCCGGAAACTGTTTTCTCTGGTCTGGCGCCATTAAGTTTTCACGCATGACGACGGACATAGAATGTTTCCTTGATCTAAAATCTTGAATCACCCTGAAAAACCGATTCTAATTTCTTTCACGTTTCAGAAGAACTCGATTGGTGTCTCGACCAGCTGGAGACGATTCAAACGCATCGATCAGTGTCTGAAATGGCGAGCAGTAAGGTGAGTCTCATGGCTGTTTAGTCTCTTCTTCTCTTCTTCTTATTTCATTCTGGATTTTTTTTGTTCTAAAAGCTCGCAGATGCGCCCCTCTTCTGAATTTAAATTCAATCCGAGCAGCAATGTCATTGGAAAAAGGCTCATGAGAAGAGAGATAGAGCCTAACTTAATCTAAGAAATGGCACTTGTCTTGTTACCCAAAAAAAAGGAATTGAAAAAAGAATAAGAAGAAGAAGAAGAAGAGAGCTGACCGCGAGAGAAAGGGGTTACGATAACTGATATCACTACCCCCTCTTTAATTGCCCCATTTTGATGAAAAAGGGGAGAAAGAGACATGTAGACGGATCCAGTATGTCTACCGTAACCGATGTGTGATCGCCGCAAAAGTACATACTGGCACTGCGCCAAAATCCTAGTCTGCATACAAACGGTTCTCACGTCATGGGGCAACAATCAAATTAGTGATAAGATCCCACATCTGTTTCCGGCTGAGAATAAGGTCAGAACCGCGACAAGTGTTCGGCGTTAGCGTTAAGGCGCCAGTCTCATTAATTACAAAAACCCTTTCAATAATTGCACTTGAAATGAGCCTCATACTTCCTGCGTCTCTCTTGATATCCTTTTGAAACTGTCGAATTGTCGCGCAGGCCTTGTATGATAAGAAAAACGAAACGAAGAGAGCGCCAGACAACGAAGTGCTTTGGCTTCTAGTAGCGGTTTGCAAGCGCGACTTCCGGTGATTGATGCTGTAGATTGATGGTGTCATTATTTGTTATATACTTTATGGTGATAGGGGGCAAACACAGAAGAAAAGAGACGGAGAGATAGAGACGATAGTGATATAGTGATTAGAACAGGTTGGTTCGACGTCTTCTGAATGAAGACGCAGAGGTAATTTTCCTTCTTTTTTTTTCATAAGAATCTCGCGTTTCTCCCTCTCTCGATTTTTAAACATGGCCTCTCTTGACTGTATTTGGGGCGGGGATAAAGAAGAAGGACGGGGGAGAAAAAGGGGGACGGTATCAACTAATTAGCATCCCGCGCCACGCAAAATGATAACACATGATGGTAATTATCACCCTCGATGTTTGCAGTTCCGAAAGATGCTCAACAAGGAGTTGTCGCATTTTGCCGAATCGTCCAAATCCGGAACACAAGTCTCCAAGTTTTTGATCACTACCTACATGGACAAGGAAGAGGATGAACCGTCAATCGAGATCGAAGTGCCCACTGAGGTGTGTTTTGTCAAAAAAAAACAAAAACTGTCTCCTGCATGTGTCTATCTATCTATCTAGTCATATTGTGTATATGTGTGTGGTAAGAACCTGTCGGGGGCGGGCTTGCCAGAAGATTGTTCTTCAAAAAATGGAAGCGACACACAATGAGTACATCCCCATACACACACTTCGTACTACTTTTGACAGCACTGTTGTTCTAAAAAAACCTAAAAATGTATTCTGAAAATGAAGAAGACGGGAACAACAATGTCATAATTCCAATGCACGAGGTACTGTAGCTTATCCTTTTTTGCACTTTGATCACTTCTGCTAAACACTTTCAAAAGAAAAATTAGATCATAAAACCCAAAAAACCTTGGCTTCTCGAAAAATCACGTCCCACTCAGTACAGACCGTCTTCTACTTTTTTTTCAACACCCCCCACCGCCGATGGTCACTTATCTTTTTGTTGACGGCCATCGGCTACTCACTTTACACTCTATTCTGCAGTAACGGCGATTTTTAGAAGACGTTCTGATCTGATCTCTAAATGATTTCTATTCATAATACATTCAACTGCTCGGATTTTCTTCAAGATGTGATTTTACGATACATGGTAAACAAATAAATTAATAGCAACATACAACGATGATCGCTTTTTCTATTTTATAGATCAGCCACATGTTTAAGATAGATGGAGACACATTAATCTAGAATCCCTTCCTGTTTTTTTGTTCCCTAAATGTTCACTAATCGCTTTTGTGTTAAGGTACAAGGCCCCTCAACATCCGGCCCCATGACACTCTCCATTTTGAAGAAAGCGCAAACGGCGGCGATGAACAAAATCTCCGGAGTTCGAAAGCTCCGAGCTCCATCCCACGACGGTCATGTACCAGAATACGGAGTGAACTGCGCACGGGAGATTGCTGTTCACATGCAACGACTCAACGATTGGGGTCCTGACGTCTTCAAAATTGACGAGCACTCGAAGAATCACTCACTCACAGTTATCACTTATTCATTATTCAAACAGCGTAATCTCCTCAAAACTTTTGAAATTCATGCTCATACTCTGGTCACCTACTTGCTCAATCTCGAACAT